GGAGACACGATTGGCCGCCCTGGATTTTGGAGCGGGGCGGGGAAGAAGAGGAGGGAGGGGGAAACTCAGGAGGAGGAGGAGGAGGAGTGGGCGTGGCCAGGCGGGGAAATGGGGCGTGGCCAGGGCGGGGGATGTTTGGTGCAAGATTCATTCATGCCTCTTAAGGAGCAGGCGCCGGGCGCTACCTAGGCGAAGCAGCCCGGTTACATAAACTGCGCCCGAGGATGATGATGAGGATGATGATGATTGTAATTATGCAATCCATTATTATTATGATTGGAATTATAATTAGGGTTGGCATTATGTTATAATTACCATGACAAGGATGCTTTCTCTCTTGGCTCCACCGAAAGGCGGATCTGGTGGTTGCTTTTTTTTTTTACTCGCTTACTTGGGAGTAAAAAAAAAACTCCTTGGCGTTTGCTTTGGAGGAAAGGAAAGCGCGCCTTTGGAGGAAGAGGAGAAGCCGTGTCAAGGCTGCAGGGGCGCCCCCCACGCACCCACCCAGGTTGTTGAGATTCGCACCCCCCCAGCCCACCCCACGAGTCTTTCAGCCCGGGAAAAAGGGGGGGGCGAAAAGACGGGGCTGACTCCCAAGTAAACACGCACCAGGTGTGTTGGGTGTCTAGCCAGCAAGCGCTGGGCAAGCAATGCAGCTGCAACACCGAGCAGGATGGGTTCGGGTTTAAAGGGCGATTTGGAATATTTTTGAGTTGGGGGGGGGGCTTTAAAAACTAATTTAAAAAAAAAGGAATCTAGAGTTATTGAGAGAGGCGATGGCATCAGGGGTTAGATATGACAGCCCTGACGTCGGAGCGGATCTGGGTTAATGAATCAAGCCGGCAAGTAACACGCGAGGGCAGATCATGATGGGGATGGGTGATGTTAAATGCAATTTTTTTTTTTTTTTGCATGGAAGTGTGTTGTTGTGGAAAAGGAGGGTCGGATCCCATAATATGGACTGGAGAATTCCCATCCCAATGCCCTGGAAGTTAAAGTGATGCTACAAGGCATGCAGAAGACATAAGGGCAGTTTTTTAAAAAGGAAATAAGGGGGGGGTTGCTAAATCTAAATTACCCTTGCAAGATCATATGGGTCAGTCTGTGACAAGCATTTTGGATGCTGCACAGAAAATACCAATAATATCCTGTGGTTCGTTTACAAAATCACTACGAGACAATACTTACTCTTGCAGCACATACACTCAGGAAAAAGGTTTACCAAAAATGACAGCAAAAAATTGTCTATTGGAAATCAGTTACATAAAAAGAGAACAATGAAACCTTTTTAAAAAAACCCAGGTTAATAAATTCAGAATTGCTCCCGGCAGCAGCCTGTTTTCTCACAGTCAGTCAGTAATAGTAATAGAGGATCTGGGCCTCGAGAGAAACATTTGGGGACCCAGGAGGAGAGGAAGCTGGGACTACACCGGATTAGCCCACTCCCCTACCTTTGCAGGATGTATATCATCCCTTGGCGCTCAGACACACACACACACCCTCGGGCTCTCTTACCCCTCTCTCGGTCTCCAGCCCTTGCCGCTTTCGCTGTTTCCAGGACGTACATGCAACGCTCCTGCTCTGCTCTCCAGCAGGTTCCAAAATAACAGACAAGCAAGCTGTCATTGGCTGGGGAGGAGAGAGGGAGGCGGGATACACAGGCTGTATCTGTGTTCCTCCCCTTCTGGGATGCACACCTTAACATGGTGATGGGGTTTTGAGTGTGTCGGAGAAGGCGAGAGAGCCGTGCTCTCAAGAGGCTAGACTCGCATTACGAGCCCGGACTCTCCTACCGGGGTCATGCTAGCTGAGGCACCAGACTAAGAGCTTGTCCACAGTGGCATGTAGTTATGATATATGGTTCCCTGATAGCGCCGTTTGGCGTGGGGAGAAAACTCTCATCCACTTGTGTTTCTGTTTAAAACAGAGGTCCCCAACCCCCGGTCCGTGGCCCGGTGCCAGTTTGTGGCCTGAGCCGGACTGGGCCGCAGAGACCGACCTGCCCCCCCACGCACTCGCCCCCACACAGCCCATTTGTGGCTGTGCGCATGTTCCAGCACACCCGTGTGAGTGCCATGCCACCGTTTGCACATGCGCACAAGCACGCCTAGACAAGTACCACCGTTTGCGCATGCATGCGAGAGCGGGGGGTGCCCCGTCTTCCCCAGCCGGTCCATGGACTGAAAAAGGTTGGGGACCGCTGATTTAAAACTATCCCTCCTTCCCCTTTAAGAGCTGCCCCACATCTTTCTAGCACAGGGCTAGGGCATACATTCTTTTCAGAATGATTCTGGAGGGCAGCTATGGGCCA